CATATCTGAGTGGATACTCTGGACCCGGGTATTCAAGTGCTCTAGAAAATCCAGCCGGGCAGAGAAGGTAGGGGGAAGGCATTTCCAGTATGGGCACATGATGGGGTAGAGGTCTGGACTTGAGAAAGCATTTGGCATATTCAGGGGCCCCCGGTGCTAGGAGTCTATTGATGCCATCACCAGATGTCAGCTTCTGAAAGGACACTTGCTTTCTCCCGCCCTCCCCTGTGTGCTCACACTGAATGGGGTCCTTTTCCCCACTTCTTGGCTCCTGTTTTAAGAGGCTTCTTTTCAGATCAAGGTGGGTCTAAAGTGGTGTTGTCAGGATGGTACCTCCGAGTGCCATTGGAAGAGAAATAGAAGGAAGGTAGACAGGTTGTCTCAGCACACAAGAGGCCCAGGCTGACGAAGCAGCAATTGCATTCTAAGCTGCCAGAGGACGGGGGTACAGTGACTGAGTGTGAGGGCCAGGGTTCAGTTCCTGACTCTGGGACATCCTAGCTTTGTACCCTTCGGAAAGCTACTTGATCTCTCTGAACTCCAGTTTGCTCATTCAGATGACATGGATACTGCTGGTGTAAGGAGATTTTGGGAGGAGCATATGCCCCGCACTGTGGTGATACTCAGGCCTCCGCTGTCCTTAGCATATGAACTTCAGACAGTGCCCGGCACAGAGGCGGAGCTTCAACAGCACAATACTTACTGGAACTGTCCCATCATGGAAGTAGCAGGCATGGAGGGCTATGAGCCCCATCCATGGTGGTCCTCTTTGCCAAACCTGAATAATGATAAGAACAGACACTGAACTGAGATTCACTGGGCACTGTGCCTGTCCTAAGTACTCTGTATGGTTTAAACCCACTAACCCTCACAGGAGCCCTAGAAGTAGGTATTGTTATTTCTCCCACTTTGCTCGTAAAAGAAGGGGAAGCTGAGACCCCATGAAAGTAACATGGCCAAGGGCAAGCTAGGAAGGCGGAGAGCTGCGGTTTGAAGCCAGGCCTGCAGTTTCAGTTGTGTTTCACCACAGCTTCTGCAGCTGCTCACAGATGCACCAGCCCCCCCAGAAGAGCACAGTAGAAAGGGGCTCCAGCGTCTTGTGGGAGGGTAGAGTCTCAGAATACACAGAGTGGCAACCAGGTGGAACCAGGTGGCCTGCCTGGGGCCCTGTGTGGAAGAGGTCACATCGAGCAGGTAGAGAACTGGCATGGCCTGAGAGGACCAGGTGGGAAGGAAGGACGCCAGCTACCTTCCTTACTAATGAGCCAAGATGTCCTGAGAGCCCTTCTGAAGAAGCGGGAAGAAAGACACCCCCACTTGACAACACGGCTTTGGGTCAGACTCTACTTTTCCTTCTGCTCTCTCATCTGTCAGACGGCTTTGAAGTTCTTGTCCTGTTTGGAGACAGATCTTTGTTCTTCCTCTGACTGAATGACGTACCTTCTAAAGGATAAATCACATATGTGAGTATCCACACATTCCCCTGAGCATCCGAGGGCCAAACGTTGTGTGTTGAAGCGGGTTTCCAGACAGAGAATTCGGTAACCTGTTATCATCATGAAATACCAGTGTGACCAGCGCTTTGTCCCCAAAGCTTGGCTGAAGTGTTTAATTTTTATCCTTAGTTAGAGTGGCTAGAACTGGATATGATGCACTGTCTTCTGCTGGAGGTGATGCTTGTTGACCCATTCCATCTCCCACTTTGAGTTTTGGATAATACTCCCCTCCAATTCTCCATTTCCCTTTCGGTCACTAAATTCCTATAAGAATCTCATCCAATGCCATAGCTTCTTTTTTGGGGGATGGGGATGGAGTCTTGCTCTGTTGCACAGGCTGGAGTGCAATGGCTTGACCTTACCTCCCTGCAACCTCCATCTTCTGGGTTCAAGCAATTCTCCTGCGTTGGCTTATAGGTATGTGCCACAATGCCCAGCTAATTTTTTGTATTTTTAGTAGAGACGAGGTTTCACGATGTTGCCCAGGCTGGTCTTGAACTCCTGGCCTCAGGTGATCCACCCACCTTGGCCTCCCAGGGTGCTGAGATTACAGGCGTGAGCCACCGCCTGCAGCCCACAGCTTCTCAAAATGAACATAGGGATTCATTCTTCAGACTGTCATTAGAGTTGACTTTCCAGGAACCCTCCCTCTCAACAGTTCAGTCATCCTTTTCCCAACCATTTGTCTTTTCCCAGATCATTCTAAAATAATGTGATCATATTACACCATCTAAGGTGGTAGACTGGGTGATGCTGAAGGGCAGCTAATATTTAGTGAGCATCTGTGATGTGCCAAGGTCTTCCACTGACAGCTGAATGACCTGTTATGTATGCTCACCTCCTTCCATGATTTCACTGGTTGTTGGGAGGATTAAGTGAGCTGACATGTGGCGTATCAGGCACATGTGACGTGTTCTGTGAATGGCTAAGGAAATAAATGAATGCGATGTGGTTTCTAAACCCTTTTCAAGGACGCTGTCCCCTGGATCTGTCTCTGTGTTAGTATTCTTCTTTAAGGAAACACGGAGACATAAACGCTGTCTGTCAGATGTGCTCCAGAGGGAGCTTGGCCCATTCTGCAGGACTGTGCCACGGTTGAGCACACCTCCAGCCGGGAGAACGGCTGCTAATTTTGAAGCTCAGTTTGTCCTTGTGTTCCAGAGTTAGCACACCACGTATCTTTTTTCTTTCATGGGGATTTTGGTCTTCCGTGGAGCTCCTGTGAGGTTGATTCTGGGTCTTCTGACCAGGACTTTATATTTTAATTTCACCACGAAGTATCTTCATGTGGGAGATGAATGTGGCTTTGGAATCATTTGGATCTAGGATTCTAGATCAATTCTGTAGTTCGTGACCGGAGATAAGTTACTTCATCTCTCTAAAACTGTCTCCTTATTCAGACTGTAGAACTTTAGCATAGAGAACTGGTTCCCAGAAAGGGGATGGTGGGAAAGCAGCAGGTTGCTCCTGCCTCCTAGGCCACAGGGGCACCAGGACGAGGGTCTTTGCAGAGCCCGGAAACTGGGCCCTTCCTGGTGGGAGGACGGCCCTGTGCTTATGGCCTCCTGACCCTTCTGTTGGTCAGGAGGGTTTCTTGCCCTACCGTGTGGGGACAGCCAAACACCTAGCACATGACATAAGACAGGTGCACCCCACAGCAGTTCATTGGTCACAGACACTCACAGCTTGGGAAGGAGGAGACTGTGCCATGTACGTCCACGTGGGGTTGCACTCAGGAACAGAGAGAGCAGCTGTGCAGGGGCTGGGGGAGGCAGGCTTTGGAGTACGGAGAGGGAGGCTGCCCCCGGCTTCCTGGGGAGGATGTGACTGGCTTATTTCAATCTCTCCCAGGCTGTGGGGCACTGATACCTACCACTCGGGACACAGTGCTGCATCTGCTTCCCGTGCGTACCTAGGAGGCCTGCTCAGCTGAGGGACCCTGTATCTGCAGGAGCAGAGTCAGGAGGGGACTTAAAGTGAGGCTATTTGGGGCCCTCTGGTTTCAATGGATATCAAGGCAGCATGTCATACTCTGCCTGGGTTGTAGGAGCTGGAGCTGTGGAGGGACGCAGCTACTCCGGGGGGACCAGCAGTGGCCTCCCTGTGTCCCCTTCCTGTCCACCTTCCTCCAGTGTTCCCTGAAGTTCTTACGGTGCCCTGGTCTTCTTGGTGCTTTTACAGATAGTACTTTGTTGAATTTGTAAAATAACCCTGTGGTGCAGTAATTGTTACCCTATTTTACACATGAAGAACTCTTGACTCCAGGGGATTGTTATTCTCCATGGCACTCGAGTTAGTCAGTGTCAAAGAGGCACCAAAGTCATGTGACTTTAACATTCAAGACTTCTTATTAAAGACCATGGTGTATTCACAGGAAAGCAAGAGAAACACCTCCCCTGAAGGCCCTTCCCAAGGTGCCATCCTTAATTCTGTGTTTTTATTTTATGTATTTATTTTTTGAGACAGAATCTTGCTCCATTGCCCAGGCTGGAGTGCAGTGGCACGATCTTGGCTCACTGCAACCTCCCCACCTGCCAGGTTAAAGCAATTCTCCTGCCTCAGCCTCCCAGTACCTGGGACTATAGGTGCACGCTACGATGCCCGGCTAATTTTTTGTATTTTTAGTAGAGATGGGGTTTCACCATGCTGGCCAGGCTGGTCTTGAACTCCTGACCTTGTGATCTGCCCGCTTCAGCCTCCCAAAGTTCTGCGATTACAGGCGTGAGCCAACGCACCCAGCTATTTTATTTATTTATTTATTTGTTTTTTGAGATGGAGTCTTGCTCTGTTGCCCAGGCTGGTGTGCTGTGGTGCGATCTTGGCTCATTGCAACTTCTGCCTCCTGGGTTCAAGCAATTCTACCTCAGCCTTCTGAGTAGCTGGGATTACAGGCATATGCTGCCACACCGGCTAATTTTTGTATTTTTCGTAGAGACGGGGTTTTGCCACGTTGTCCGGGCTGGTCTCAAACTCCTGAGCTCAGAGCTTCATCTTGCCTTGGCCTCCCAAAGTGTTGGGATTATAAGTGTGAGCCACTGCATCTGGCTTGGGTTTTGATTTTGTATTCTGTTTTTCTGAAGAGGTGTCTCATATTGAATATATACTTTCCCTACTACACTTGGATCTGTTTCTCTTTAAGGTGATGTAATACAGAAAATATGCATTGTGGAGAAATTTAATTTAACTCTGATTTAGTTTATAAGAGCAAAACAGCATTTATTTGGTCAGTGAGAAGGAGTTGCTCACTAAGGAGTCAGGATGGCTTGGCCTGGGCTGGGTGCCTCTAGAGATGAGTGGTTCTTCCTCCCTGTGCCTCGTTCATAAATGGGGTGATTGCCTTGCAACACTCCTTGGTTCTGGAATGTTCTTGTCACTTTGATCTTATATATTTTAACATTCCTTTTCCTTTGCTTTTGAGAATGCATCAGAATTTTCTAGGGGATTGCTAAGTCCCATACTGCCTCAGCCACAGCATCCTCATCACTGTCATTGCTATTATTGTAGAAAAATTGTACGGCGACTTCTTGAGCTGGAAGCTGGAGGAAACCCTTGCCCAGTTCCCTTTGCAGCCTGGGAAGGTGGCCACGTTCACAATCAACATCAAAGTGAAGCTGGATTTCTCCTGCCAGGAGAATCTCCTGCAGGATCTCAGTGATGGTAAGCTCTTTCCTAATTGTAATGAGCACATTAGGGTTCTAGATACAGTGTAGCAATCACCACTGATGATGCCTGCTGTTTTCCGTTTGTAACTTACTCGTCATTCATTAACTCAAGCTGCCTGAGACACCTCCTGGGCACTTTGTTAACAGAGTGAGTTACTGTATGTGTCTGAGAGTAATAAAAGTACTTTTTAGCTAAACGATTTAATTCTCACTCTTTATTATTTTGTACTCATTTGCCAGGAGGTCATTCTAAATTAGTGGAATGTAGGAATTACTGCATTTTTTCAAGTATAACTGCTGTGATTCTTTAGACATCTAATTAGCTGTGATGATCAAGTTTTCCTTTCAAGTCTGGTGATTTTTATAAGGAGGTGGAGTGTGGAAGAAATGGAAATTTATATTTGTTGTAACATTAGGATTGACTAGAGATAAGATTTCATAGATTGGCTGGGTGTGGTGGCTGACGACTATAATCCCAGCACTTTGGGAGGCCAAGGCGGGTGGATCACCTGAGGCCAGGTGTTTGGGACCAGCCTGGACAACATGGTGAAACCCTGTCTCTACTAAAAATACAAAAATTAGCTGGGTATGGTGGCTCAAGCCTGTAATCCCAGCTACTGGGGAGGCTGAGGCAGGAGAATTGCTCAAACCTGGGAGGCGGAAGTTACAGTGAGCTGAGATTGAGCCACTGCATTCCGGCCTGGGTGACAGAGTGAGACTCCATCTCAAAAAAAGAAAGAAAAAAGATTTCATAGATTAATTATGTCAAATTATGAAGCATTCATTGGGAGCCAGTGTGCCGTCTATCAGTCAGATAAGGCTTCCCTAACAAGATACCACAGACACAGCAGCTTAAACAGCCAGATTTGTTTCCTCATAGCTCTGAAGACTGGGAGTCTGAGATCAGGGTGCCAGCCATGGTGATTTTCTGGTGAGGGAGGGCCCTCTTCCCAGCTCGCAGATGGCCACCTTCCTGCTGTGTCCCCACATGGAGGGCAGAGGGAGCTCTGGTGTCCACCCCTTCTTACAAGGGTACTCATCTGCTAAAGAGGGCTCCACCCTCATCGCTCCATCTAAACCTAATTATCTTCCCAAGGCTCCGCCCCCTAAAGCTGTCCCATTGAGGGTTAGGCCTTCAGTAGATGCAGCTGGGGAAGTGGAGAGGCAGTTCAGGCCCTAACAGACGCCCACTATGGAGTTTGCTCTCTGCAGCCCCTGCAAATAGTCGGCATGAGCTTCCTGTACAGTGCTGGTACTTGGTAAAATATTCTTTTTATATTATTAACAAAGGCAGAAAAACAGATTTAGGGTTGGACACATTAGAAAATGAAAATGTCAAGAGTTTTGAAAATTATACCAAGACTTAAAAATGTCTGATGAAATGGCTTTGGTTTGTTTGTAAACGGCTTTGTAGAACTGAACTGCATTTTTTCTTTTTAATCAGTGGATAGAGGGTTACCTAGGTTGTGACTTCTTTTTTCCCAAGAAGTTGGTTTGGCAGAACAAGTGGTGCCCAGCACCTGTCCTCGGAACACTTGGGACTGGATACTATGCCAGCGGCATGTCTTGCCACGTGGACTCCAGGCAAGAGTGAGGGAACTGTGACCGTGGTTTCTACCACTGCCTGCTGGTGTCGTCTCAGTCCTGAGGAACAGTGCGGAAGGCTTCCAAGTAGAAAGCCTGGCTTTTTGTATTTTGGTTGTTTGAATTTATGTGTTCAACGCAGACCTACTTTGTCCTATTGTTACTGTACCTCTGCCTTTTGTTACAGAAGGGACCGGGGCATGCTCTCTGCCCTTCTAAGGTCAGAGAGAAAAATTGAGCCAAATGGCTATTTGGGACTTGCAGTCTGGGAATACCTTCTTCTATCTTTTAAAGTAGAACCAAACCAGACTTCGGATTATGGTTATCAAGTGGTTGGTAGATGTGATGCTGGCCCGGTTCCTGGTCATGGCACACGGCTGTTACTCATGAGATGCCCCTTTATTAATAACAGTTAATAGAAGCTCTGGCTGGTTGTTTACATGGTATGTGGCAGAAAGAGACAGCATATCTCTAAGGTATAAGTCTTACAGAGGAAACCAGGTCAAGTTTTATGGAGGAAATGTAGGCATGAAGAACCTTCAGAGCTTGGTCCATGGAGGGTGCCTTGCTACATGCAATTCAGTCTGAGGAAGCATGAGGCCATCACTGTGGCCTTCTGTGGCGCAGCTGTGAACTCAGAGCCAGAGACTCATTTGTGGCCTCTGGGAACTGGGAGACGACTCCCTGCAGCTCACAGTCTAACACTCTCAGAGACATCTCGTGGGGGACCACATTCTCAGGCGTGGACCTGCATTAATTATAGTTACTGAAGTTAGACGCCACTGAAGAAACTCCCAGCAACCCGTGGAGCTGTTGCGTAGACCGGGATCCTACATTCGGTGTGGGACACGGAGAAGATGATGTGTTTACTGAGTATTGTCAGATGTTGTGTATAAAGACTGGGCTAGCCACTTTTATTTGCATTATTTCTATTTAATCTTCACAAAAACTCTATAAAGTAAATGTTATAATTCCCATTTTATAAAAGCAGGCAGGAAGAATGTTCTAGATTAAAGGAGATTGAAGCGATATAACAAGAAAATGCTGTGCATGATCCTTAACTGTATCCTGGATTTTAAAAAAGAAGACTTTTTTGGGACAATCGAGGAAATCGAATGTGTACTATAAGATAATATTATATATTAACGGCAAATATACTGAATATGATAATGAAATTGTAGCAGAAAATTCTTGTTCTTAGGAAATAAATGCAGAAGCATTTAAGAGGGAAAGATCATTTGCCTGCACTTACTTTAATAAGGTGAAGGAAAAAAATACAATGTGAATGTGAATCCACACAAATAAAGTAAAAGTGTCAAATTATTAAAAAGTAGTGGCTTTAGCTGTTCACAATACCAAGTACATGGACTCAGCCTAAGTGGCCGTCAATAGTGGATTAGATAAAGAAAATGTGGTACATATACACCCTGGAATGCTATGCAGTCATAAAACAGAAGAAATCATGGCCTCTGCAGCAACATGGTTGCATCTGGAAGCCATTATCCTAAACAAATTAACACAGGAATAGAAAAGCAAATACTGCATGTTCTCACTTATAAGTGGGAGCTAAGCACGGAGCCCTCATGGTCATAAAGACAGCAACAAGAGACATGGGGGACTACTAGAGAAGGCAGGGAGTGAGGGGAGGGGTGAAAAGCCAGTTGTTGGGTGCTATGCTCACTGTCTGGATGACAGAATCCTTCATTTCCCAAACCTCACCATCACACAGTATTCTCATAGAACGAACCCACACCGGTACCCCCTAAATCCAAAAGAAAAGTTGAAATTATAAAAAAAAAAATTAGTGGCTTTAGATAAAGAGATATGGATCTTCATGTCTCTTCTTGTAACTTTTCTGTAGGATCGATATTTTTCAAAATAAAAATAACAAGAAAAAGATTTTGTAGAGCACTGTTTTGATATATTATTTTGATTTCTAAGTGAATTTTAGAAATTGTTTCTAAATGAAACATCAGAAAGCAAGTTATTTCCCTTACCTTCAAGTTCTTGGGAGATATCTATCTTCTTTATATAACTAGTCTAGGGTAAGAGAAGTCACCCACAAAATAGTATATTCTTTTCCTATAATCCTGATAATACTCGAAATCTCTTATTTCTTGGATTTTTATGTTTAAAATTGGAAGTCCTAAAAGACAGTGGCAAACTGTTACAGGTTTTGAATATATGAACTATTCAGTCAAGTAGACTGAACAACTAGAATAGAAAAACCAAATACCTATAGGCAAAAATATACAGCAAAACCAGATACCTGAGTATCCCCACAGACCCCACAATACAAGTAGATGTGGACAAACCACTGATAGTGACATGGTTTCACCATCTGCACAAGAAGAAGCTGGAAACACACACACACACACACACACACACACACACACACACACACACACACAGGAATCCCCACACAGCCTTTAGGTGCTCACTGGACAGTACAGTGGGCCAAGCTGAGAACAGCAGCTGAAACGTGAAGGAATTTGCATATTCCAATAGCAGACAAGGGCAAATAATTCTTCTAGAACAAAGCCTCACCTGCAGAGAAGCTGCTAGGAACAGAGGTGAGATAGTAGAACCAAGGAAAGAAAAGGACTGGATGAAACTCGGGGAGGATAACACAGTTAAGTGGTCTAGAAAGTAATTTCTTATATTTTTGACTACCACCCAAAAATACAGAATACAGTATGTAGATTTACCAGAGCTGGAAGATTTACCAGAGCTGGAAGAGCTATCCTGAACTATCTCTCCTAAAACTAGTTTCGTGTAAGGTTGGTCAACAGAATAGGATCATAGCCAAACTCTATGTACAGTGATTCTAGTAAAAATGTAAGCAGCAAGACAACATACCTGCAAACCATGGAAGTCTGCCAGAAGGACAGCTCGCAAGCTGAGAAAAATCACAAAATTCCAGAAGGAGCTAAAAGACATGAAGTACAAAAAAAACCCTAAATCTGAAGGAGAAAAACTCAGAAATGAGATGGATATAACTCAGGAAAGAATTTGAAATATAAGAAATTTTGTTTTTAGCAATGTAGCTTCTAGTGAGTTAAGTGTACCTGCCAGATACATAAAGGGAAACAGAAGATGAAAAGAGAGGAGAAAAAAGCATTGAAAGAAAAATGATTAAAGAGAAAGTGACACACTTAGAAGGTAGGCAAAGAAGATCTAACATGCATGCATGCATGCATACATTCATTCATATATACATTCACATATACATACATTCATTCATACATACATTCATATATACATTCATACATACATTCATACATATATACATTCATTCATACATACATACATTCGTACATACATACATTCATTTGTACATACATACATTCATACATTTATACATACATTCATTCATACATTCATACATATATACATTCATTCATACATACA